GTCCTACCTGACGCCACGCCCACAGAGTGAGCACAGGGCTGTCCTACCTGACGCCACGCCCACAGAGTGAGCACAGGGCTAAACCCGTCTCAAAACCAAGTTCTGCTTTTTTGGAACTTTCTGAGAAATCACCTCCAGAGTCTTTAACTTACAGCTGTTTTTACCCACCGCTGAGGATGTGAAGACTTGGGGGTCTGCCCGTGCCTGTCCATCTGCAAACCTTCTATCATGGGAATGACTGTGGTGGGTTCAGTGAGAAGGTCTTCCACAGTCTCAGGCGTTTGGACGTTCAGCCCCCAGTTAGTGGGACTGTTTGGGGGAGGCGTAGGAGGCGTGGCCTTGTTGGAGGAAGCGTGTCACTGGAGGTGGGCTTCGAGAGTTTGCAGGTTCTAGTTCACTCTCTTGCTTCATGCTGTGGCTCAAACTGCGAGCCTTCAGCTTCCTGCTCCTGCCCCTGTGCCTGCTGCTTGCTGCCCTGTGTCCCTGCCACGGTGGAACCATAGCCCAAACAAACTCTTCTAGATGCCTTGAGCAGAATGATTTTTTTCTTTTTCGTTTTACAAGCCAACCACAGTTCTCTCCCCACCCCCCACCCCAATCATGTTTTATCACAGCAACAAAAAGTAGTTAAAACAATGACCACAGGAATCCTGGACATGGGGTCAGAATTTGAAAATTTACAGTTCATGTGGCAGTGGCTTTAACCACGTCGTCCTTATGTGAGCGTCGCTGTGTTAAAGCAGTGTGACCAAGCCTGACCCTCCCTGTCGGAAGTCTGAACTTCTAAGCCACATTACAGTCCAGAGTGCTTCCTGCCTTACGGGTTCTCTGCAAGGTTTCTACTCATCTGTGGCAGACGTGACAGCCACGTGTAGCCACACAGCACAGCAAGAGGAGGGAAGATGTAGGGAGGTCATTCCTTCAGAATGGACAAGCTGGGGACAGAAGCTGTGGGAAAACCCCTTCGGGACACCAAGATCTCCAGCTTCAAGCAGAGTGAGCCAGGAATCTCAGGCAAGACAGATGCAGCCAGCAGCCTCTTGGCCTAGGAAGTAGACACTGCATTGTGAAGGGAGGCAGGGGGCAGCCTCCACTAGGGGGCGGTGCTGAGCACAGAACTACTGTTTGCCTGGGTGCCCTAACTCCAGCTTGGGTGACCTCACTCCAGCTTGGGCGAACACTGCAGCCGGGAACCGAGACACTGCCTGTGACCCCCAGCCCCTCTAACCTGACAGCCACTTATCTCCAGAGATAGGAGTGTTTCCCACAGTCTTTAGCTCCTGCTAGTCACCTTCTGCTTGGAACCATTTCCCAGCAGGTGCTTCCTGTGTGTTAAAGATGAAGGAGGGGACAGCAGATGACATGTTGTCTCTCTCTAGGTGCAGGCACCTTCATTTTTACTCTGAGACTCTGGACAAGTGCTAGAATTTCTCCAGCTGCCTCCAATTTCCCTTTAATTTCACCATTAAAAAAAAAAAAAAAAAAAAAAAAAAAAAAAAAAGCCTGGCTTGGTTTTCTAACTGAAAGCCAACCCAGAGGCAGAGACCTAGAGGATCAGACACGTAATGAGGTTGGTTGCATGTGCATACACTTGTGGGGTAGAATTAAGAACACAGATTAGGGAAAAGACTCAAGTGTGCCAGGGTGAGCTACAAACTAGATAGGAAATAAACATCCTTTAAAGACCACAGAGAATGTTTGACCACTTCCCAACTCTCAGAGGTCAGGGCTGAAGCTGGGGCGGCAGTACAGGCTGCCCCCAGACCCTCGGGGTTCTTGCTCTGCAGCTGGGAGGTCCTGTGGGAGGAATCCCAGGACCCAGGAGCCTTGAGCCTTTCAAACGCCATCATCAAACAGAAGCCAGAAACAATTTTTTTTTTCTCAGCATAAATCCAAGCACTGCACAATTAGCTCCTGTAGCCTGTACAGCACATGCAATTACCTCTCCCACACAGCTCCTGGCCCCAGGGCAGTGAAGGCTGAAGCTTCTACTTAGCGATAAACACTTCTTCATTTAGTTAGCAAACTCCGAGATAAAGAGTACGCCACAGCCGGAGTGAGGAAGGGGTGGGGAGGGTGGGTGAGGGCGAGGGCGAGGGGCTTCTGTGTGCATCTGCGTCCCCAGGTGCAGCCCTCTGCCTTTAGCCAGGGGAGTTCCCTACCTTCTTAAAGTATCTTGTTCCTCCTCTGAAACTAGTTTGTGGATACTACATAATCAGAGGCTACACTGAAGCCGTATCTCTGTATAATTTCGGCTTTGGGGTTTGCTATACTACAGTAAGTATCAATAAACTTGTTTACAAAGTTGGTTTTTAATTAATAAACTCAAGTGATCAATTCTCCTGTCAGGAAGAAAGACAAGTTGAGTCTTTGATAAAGATCTGACGCCTTACAAGCTGCTGAGGTGAGGCAGGTTCCAAATCAAACTCCAGGTGACGTCATCGCTGTGCCGTGGACTCTAGGGACCCCCTTGCCAATCCACAGTCCAAACTCCAGCCACCCAGGACACTGCCTCTTTCTTAGTCAGATTTACTTATTTATGCAACTTACAACACAAATCATATACATTACACATATTTTTAGACAAGTTCTCTCTGTACAACAGCCCTGGCTGTCCTGGAACTTGCTTTGTGGACCAGGCTGGCTTCGAACTCACAGAGATCTGCATGCCTTTGCCTTCCGAGTGTTGGAATTACAGGGAATCACCACCACTGCTCAACTCAAATCATATTAATTTTATAGTTATAGGTGGGAGGAGGGAGGAGGGGGGATCTGTAGATAGTATGTGGAGTAGAAAATTTCTTAATAAAGAAAAATGAAAGAAAAAAATTCTCTTATCCCTGACATTTTATATTCAATTCCATATAAAGTATACATATAACTCTAAAAGTATTTAAATAAATATAAATAGCATATTGAAAAAAATTTAGTTACCCATCTTATGCCTAAAGCTCCTCCAGGAAGGGGAAGGATCCCATTTGACAAGCAGCCCCTCCCCACGGGAGTTCTCACCCTGCGGGAGTCACCCCCATGGGGATCTGCAGGGTGAACAGGCCACTGTGTCCACAGCACTGGCCTTCCAGCGGACACAGGAGAGGGCGGGTGCACTTTCACTTCCCAAGTTCGTGGGCTCTCAGCTCTCCAACAAGCGACAGGCTCGTCCCAAACCAGCAAAGGATGCCTCTGGCTTGCTCAGAGGAGCCCGCAGGAACGGCTTTACCGATCCTATTTCCGGCTGGAGCAAAGGGTCCTGCCGCTGAGAGCAGGTCAGCAATAACTGCAGAGTGAACTTGCGTATGGAATTTTCACACACTTTGGCGGATTCACGTCCCTCCTCCTCAACTTCCCCATGGGGCTTCAGGACGCCACCCGGGGTACCCGCCCCCAAGCATAGAACCATAAAGTATAATTCATGCAGTTTGAGGAGTGGAAACGCAAGGGTTATGAGCGCCTTTTAGCATTTGAGCTGCAGAGTCAGGGGTGTGAGCTCGGAAGAGCTTTCTCATTTCATAGTCTTTAATGCCACAAAGTTAGTGTCGGCGTGGACAGATGGAACGGAGAGAGGACAGAAACGAACCCACGACTCCACAGACAACTGATTCCTGACCAAGAGTCCGTAAATATGTATTAAGAAATGACAAGTGCTTGAAGAGGGGGGGAGGGGAACTGACGAGCCACCTCCGGAAGGTTGAAACTAGACCCCGTGTCTGACCCTGTGTGGATGGGAAAGCTTACTGTAAGACCCGAAACTTTGAAACTGCTAAGGGAAAACATAGAACGCTTCAAGATATTGGCAAAGACACTGACTGTAATACACAGAATGAGAAGAATTATATAAGGAATTTCACTGCATTAAAAAGCTTCAGCAAAGGAGATAGATAACCTACAGGACAGGAGAAAAATCCTTCCAGCTACCAACCTGACGGGCTGACGCCCACAACATATTAAGAACATAGTAAGACCTCTGGGGGCTGAAGAGGCGCACAGTAGGCCAAGGGCATGTGCTGCTTTAGAGAGGCTCTGAGTTCGGCGCCCGGCACCCACATCAGGGGCTCACAACCGCCTGTAGCTCCGGCTCCAGGGGACTCAGCGCCCCCTTTTGGTCTCCACAGACGCTGCGCTCATGCACACAATCTTCCTCACTGTTAACAATTTTTAAAGTGACTTGAAGGCAAACAAAACCCTCCAAAACCACAACAACAAACAAACAAACACGTAATACAACCATACATGGGTAAGTTCTCCAAACAGATACTTTTGAGAAAATAACATCTGCCGGGCGGTGGTGGTGCACGCCTTTAATCCCAGCACTCGGGAGGCAGAGGCAGGCGGATCTCTGTGAGTTCGAGGCCAGCCTGGTCT